ATAAATGCACTGTTGCTAAATGCATTTGTTATGGCAGAAGTCTGAAATTATTAAAAAATTTAATCTTCTTCAAAGTCGTGCTTGCTGAGAGTTACTGGCTCTGGGAGAAGCTACAGAAGAGTCTGGATTTTGTGCCCTCGGTAGATGCTATGGATGATGGAGAGGGAAGAAAGAGCCATTGACTCTTGAAAGATCAGTATCATATTTAGTATGGAAGCACTGTGCCTCAGTGTTTGACTTTGCAATGAGTCTTCTCCTAGAGATACACGGTGCTTTTCCTAGAGATACACAGCCTTTGGGCTGCTGTTTTCCAAAGGTTGTTCTTAATGGCATAATATTTCCACCAGTTTATTAATAAAATTGGAGTCCTGGGAAAGACAAAAAATAAGGTAGAAATAAAAACTGAGGCATCAAGTTTCTCTTAAGATTATTAATATAGTTTGGAATCTCTGTAATAGACTCTAAATATTTATCAGACATGAGATCTGGAGTTACACTGTTCACAAAGGAATTACCTCCCTGAGATAAATGCAGATGATACATAGAAAAGAACACACTTTTGTTCAGGCTAATAAAAAATTGAGATGCTCAAATACTTGAGAAAATCTTCATCATATGGAACATGAGAAAAGAATGAGGCTGATTATATCTCAAATACCAGTGGGAAAGCTGCCAAGAAGGTCTTTCAGGGCAATACATTTATTGACCATTCTATTTGTGTAACAGGCATGAAACTCTAGATGAGCATTTTGGCTTTTGGCTTGCAGTGCACAGAAAATGAGACACCTCCATCCTTTTATAATGTAGGACTGAAGTGATGTGTGGTTGTGAAGGTGAAATATCTCTCTCAAATATTTTGACATCTCTAATTCAGGTGTCTGTTTTAATCAGTGAACAGGAATGTCACCCAAGGTTGGTCTCTAAGTAGGATGAACCTGGAGACCATCTGTCACTTTCAAGACTAAAAATGAATTTAGCTGACATTAACCCTAATATAATTATTTTTTCCTCCACTGGAAAAAGTCTAATTCTTTCTACATTTAATTCTCATCTAATTCTTTCTACAATCAGGAAATATGAAAAACCCAGGAATATCTAGATATTTGGAGACTGCTTGAAACATACAGGAATATTTAGGCAGAGTGGAGTTTTGTGACACCTAGACTAGGTCAGGCTCTCTCTTTGTAGCCAACAAGAACAGAACAATACTTTCAGAATCTACTTTACTTAAGACATGGGTTTGAGCTAGGAGAGCAGTAAGATGTCTCTCTCAGTTGACTTGAGAGACTCTAGACACCTATTTTCTGCTAGAAATGCATCTTCTGGGCATCTAAAGACAGGTGAGAGAAATCTGAAGTACAAACCTTTATATAGTTTTTTAGTGCTTGTTGTTCTTGCTGTGATAGCCTCTGGGACCCTGTTCTTTGCTAAGAGATCATTTTAGAAGGTGCTGTACAATTAAGAACCAACAGATGTTTTTTCCCCCTAGGAGGTGTATAGTTGAAAAACAAGATAAAAGAGGGGCACAGATTAAAAAGGAATAGCAAATGTAGATAATAAGGGCAAAATAAATAGGGCTAGCTTACTGCACTGAAATGTTTTGTACTCATCAAAGAAAAGAAGATCCAGAAACAGCTCTGCAAATGTATACTGGCCACTTTCCCTTTAAAAAACCAAAACCTAAATACTTTGAAAATTTACCAATTGATAGGTGAAATTCATTTCCAGGGGTTGAGGGAGTCCTGGTCATATTTTGAAGAGTGGATGAAAGACAGGGAGGGGCTCTACATATCCAAAAAAGGGAAACAAGTGTTGTGACTGATCAGCCAGACCTGACATGAAAATTTTAAGAAAGATAGGGAGTTGTATTTCTATTAGCAATGCCAGGCATACAGACCCATTATAAATGTCTGGGACTTCATGTGATTTATTAGATAAGTAAGGTTTAGATAGTCCTGTTCTTTGTGTGTGAGACCACTTTACTTCCTCAGCACATGTGATTTATTTCACCACCCTCTTGACATCTTCAGTATGGAAGTCTGAGTTATTTGCTCTAGGCTTTATTTAGAGAAAATGAAGAAAAGCAGACATTTGTGGGCTTTTGTGGGTGTAATCCATTTTAGATAAGTAATACAGGATTAAATTAATATCCTGGAAATGCCCATTTATCTCCATATGCTATCAGGGAAATGTGTCTGACTAGCTTCAATGACATCAAAGTGAATTTCCCAAATTCAATGAAAATGACCATAAAAATAAGATATTTTGGGGGTGAAGGAGGCTAGTAAATCAACTCTAGTAAATATTCAAGTATTTACATGCCTTTCTTAGGTCTTATTTTGACTTTCAGCCTAATACTTAATTTTCTGATTAGGGTAACAAGGCATTTCATTTCAGCATAGTGCTAATATGAATTCTGAGAACACAGTAGTACATGGTAAACTGAGAACAGCTCACAAATAAACCTCCAGTTTTTTCTTCTCAAAGGTCGATACTGAGGTCAGTAATATGAGAGAACTTGACTGATCACTGGGTGAGGGGTCAGAGTGCACTCTCAGCAAGTTTGCATGTCATACAACCTCAGAAGAGGAGCTCACACGCCAGGTGGTTGTGCTGCCACTGAGAGGGACTTCAACAGGCTGGAGAAATGAGCCAATAGGAACCTCATGAAGTTCAGCAACGAGAAACACCATGTCATGACTCTGAGAAAGCATAGTCCCATACATTAGTGCATGCTGGGGACTGAGAGGATGGAACTCAGCTTTGTAGATAAAGATCTGAGGGTTCTGCTAGACAGTAAGCTGGATATGAGCCAGCAATGTACCTTTGTAGCAAAGGTGACCACCTGCATCCTGGGCTGCAGAAGATGAAGTGAATCAAGAGAGGTGATTCTTAACTTCTCCTCAGCACTGATGGAGTGGTATGTCCAGTTCCAGGCTCACCAATACAAGAGACAAATAAACATACTACAGCAAATCCAGAGAGGACCTACCAAGATGACTAGGGGATTGCAGAGTTTATCAGTATGTGCAAATATCTGATAGGAGTATTTAAAGATGATGGAACCAGAAACTTCCCGGCAGTGTCCAGGGAAAGGCTGAGAGGCAGTGGAGACAAATTGCAATACAAGAAATTCTATTTAAACTTGAGAAAAAATTCCTTTGTGATGAGAGTGATCAAATACTGAAACAGCTTACCCAGAGAGGTTGGGGAGTCTGCATCTTTGGATACATTCAAACCCAAATGGACCCAGTACTGAACAGCCTGCCCTAAGTGACCCTGCTCTGAGCAGGAAGACTGAACTCGATAATGGTTCCATTCCTATGGAAGACTGGACCAGGTGATAGTTTTTGAGGTCACTTCCAACCTGAGGTGTCTGTGATTCTATGAAATTAACTATAGGAAAAATTTATGAGGTGTAATGATGGCATCTCTATTCACAGAATTGTTATTACAGGATATGACATTCTGAATCATTCACTCAGGGCTATAGACAGCTTTGTACTTGAATGGGGAGTTGATTCAGGAGGTTTCAATGTATATTAGGCAGAGAGAAGAATGACAAGCTTAATAGGATATAGTCTTTCACTTATGATCCATTGTTCACTGATCATCTGCATGTAACCTTTTCATTAGTAATGGTTATAATGACTATGCTACTGACACTTGCTTCCTCATATAGCAATTAGCAGTTCCCACTCTAATTAATTAACCTATCATATCTGTCAAGAAGTAAAGTAATAAAAATCTCTTTTTGTGCCTTTCCAGTGTAAACAGCACACAACCTTAGTACAGTTTTGGTTGTACAGGATCTCTGAAGTTCATCAGGTCCAACACCATGTTCAACCTCATGGCTGTTGTAAAAGAGTCAATCTCTGCTTTTTCCCTTTCCAACTTAGTGGCTCTTTGTTAGGCTTACTCCATTTTGATAATGTCCTTCTTGTACTAGGACTCCAGAACTGGACACATTAGCCCTGGCACGATCTTCAGAATTGCTGAAAAAGTAGGTAAACCCACTAGTTTCAGTATTTGCACTATGTAGTGACTAATACAGTGCAGTATGTGGTTAGCCTTCACTGTTGAAAGGAAGCACTGATGACTCTTGAGCAACTTGTCCTGAAATCAAGTTGGAAAAGACCTATAGGATAAGCCCTGCCCATCACAGGGGTTTTGGATCTGTAAGATCCCTTCAGCCCAAGCCATTCTATGATCATCAAGTTCAACCTCTAGGTGTTTTTACTACAGTTGCTCCCTAGATAATTGGTTTCTCCCAATCATTTGCATTCAGATCTCTTCAATCAAACCACATCTTCAGTTTTTTGAGATTAATCTGAATGACAGCCTTATTACCCAGCATATAGACAGCTTCCTGCAATTTGGTGTCAGTCCCAAACTTGTTGATGGTGTGTTCCTTTCCATATAATTACAAACCAACAAATCACATTACTATTTCATCTGGCAGAGCCAATGCACTGGTGTCCTAGGGTTTGAAAAGCAAAGACTTGTTCTGAAGGCTTCACAGGGACTAGTGTAGGAGCTGAGTGAATACAAGGAGGGAAGGATTGAATATAAATGGAAAAATAAGAATATTTGATATAAAAGCGGACAATGACAGCTGCTCTGGTCAGCAATTACTTGAGACTGAATGTGTCAGAAACAGTCAATATGCATACAAATGCCCTTCTGGTCTGGCAGTGTTTCCACCCATTCTCATCTCACCCTTTGTACTCAGAAATGACAAAACAAATATGTGGTTTAAATTTACATTTAAATATGTGTTTAATTTTTACTGTGTTAGTGCACACAGTAATCCTTTAATCTTTATCCAATATTGGGCAAAAGTATAAATTACAGAAATATCCTTGTCTCCTTCTTTGACTTTTACAGTATAAGACGGATGTAAAGAAGCCACAGTTCACAGCATGAACAGGAACTTGGCCCAAGAATTTTTAAACCCCCATGGAAAAATCAATAGGCAAGATTCCATCTTGGTTACAACCATGTCGATCTGGAGACACCTCAGGAGCCAGCTGAGTTTATTTGCATTGCTGGAGATTAAGATCAAGTCCTACTGCAACTGGATTTGTCAATCATTAGCAGAAAGCTTTGCACCTGGTGTTCCCATTGACTGCAAATTTCACAAGTAAGGAGTAATACATCCAAAACCCATTTCAGGGTATTCTATCTCTTCCAGTACAAGAAGTAAGAGGAAATGAAAATGGAACACAAGCAATCTGCTTTTTGGAAGAATTTGCACTTGAAAAATGTACTGTTCTGTCTGGTCATTACTTGGATTTTGTAACACCTGTGACGTTGAGTCACCTTGTCCTATCAGGAAACAGAAGAGCTATAAATCACCCTCCAGTGAAGAATTTCAGTCACTTCCACAACCACCTGAAGAAGGACAGAAGAAACTTCTGATCTTCCTGAAACCAAAAGGTAGGATTTATACTGATATGTTGGCTTAAAATATTGTGATTTTTTTAATGTATTAAAGTGCAATGTATTGTCAAAAGACTTCTTGGACAATTTAGGACAGTCATAGAAAAATAATTTTATCCAGTGAAAAATAAATATTACATAGGTAATAATGTAACCAAGCTGAGGGAAAAAAAAGGAGATAATATTGATGAACAATCAAAAATAGATGAAAAACAACATGTATGCAAGAAAGCAACATCTCAGCAGATTACATGTCCATAGAGAAACAGAGACAGTCAAACAATGAATGGGATATATATTTGGTCAGTATATTCTATTGGTATATGTTACCATCACCACCTATTTTCAGAGTGGGGAACATACTACCTCATGTAATTCACTCCTCTTCTTCAAGGTGGCTGCTAAGTAGGACTTTGTGCAATAATACTGAACAAGTGGAATGACAGAGACATTCCATTTCAGGTCTTTTTCAAGGATAATAAAAAATAATGGGGTTGTTCTTTTGTAATGGATATTCAATAGTAAGAATAATTTAGGATACACCTATTTCATTATTTTTTTTAGATGGAGAGATGGGAAAAACATATTCACACGAGTTTGCCAAACTCATACAAACTAGGGATGCTAAAGCACCATCTTTTAGTGGCAGATCCCTGCACACAGATGGATTTGCAGGAAAGTCAGTAAGATTTGGCACATGTCCTGATTTATGTTTGATTGAGGGGGAACGGGGGAGGGGGGAAGAGAGACTGATTTTAGGACCAGTGCCTAGAAATTAATGCAGAGCAATTAAATTTACATCTCATAAACTGTAAGCATTTGGTTAAAATCAGTGGGATTGACAAAAGTGTGTTAATATCCTGGAGTGGGAAACCCACTGGGTATTAAAAAGCATTCCACAGGCATTTTGAAACTTGTATCATGTATTAAATTACCAATTATATTAATAAGTTAATTCATAGGAAATATTACAGTGAATGAATACTTTGCCCATGTCTCTAAGTTAGCTTCTTCAGTTTGCTTTGCAAAATAGAAAGCTTCACAATTTTAGTGAAGTTATTTTTCCTTTCAAATGTGTTTTACACGCAAAAGGGGTTGTTTTCCTATTTGCATATCTTCACATTTTGCACTCAGAAGACATATTTTTGCTTGTAACTTGAGTACAGCTAAAAATAATCATCACGTCTATTTAATTTATAGTTAAAATTAAGTGAAAAGAATAATTTTTTCTTTATCTTGGGAGTATAATCTTTTGTTGCTGAACACCCAGGTCAGATACACTGCAAAGTTTTGGAATGTCTCTGAGAAATAAGTGTCAGAAAGGTTAGCAAGAAGAGATTTCTGTGACCCTAAAATTCTTCAAGGAGGTGCAAACAATGTCAAAAATTAAACATAAGTGATACACAGCAATACCAAGAACAGGGAATCAATGACTTATACTGTTAATTACCAGTATGTTTTCCCCTGAATCAAATATATCTTTCCTCAACTACAAGTGTTTGGAACAAACCACTCCATTTTTAAGGCTTTGAATGTTTAATTGTACAGATGTGATCAACCTGGTCAGTATTTTGGCCCCTGAGCTACAGCTGCCCATAGTCACAGAGCACTTAAATGGGCTTTGCTGTTTATCAGAGGTGGAGCAACATCTCTGCCTACAACCTGGGGACTGTGGGTCACCTCCAGTGCAAAGTAAGCAAGCTGGTGAGGAACAGGGACCTTGTTGTACTAGTTGGAAAGGTGTAGTTTTTCTTACCCACATGTTCTCCACAAGTACAAGTGTTGTCCAGAGCACCTTGTGTTTTATATAAACTGGTTGCCTTGAGGTAAACGGGCTTTACTTAATATGGAAAGATCAGCAAACCCTATTGGCCTTTCCCCAAGAATAATTCAAAACTAAAACCAGCAGCCCCACAAAACCAAACAAGTTAAGCTAATAGTATATTTCCGTGGTAGCATGGCTATAAACTCTCTTGGAGTGGGAGGCTGGGAAAAATGCCAAAAGAAGTAAATTCCACTCTAGTCACCTGTTTGCCTGCCCAAGGTAGCTACACAGAAACAATCTGAATGTAACTCATATGACTGATTGCAATCAGATACCTGAACTTTGCAGTGACCTCCTGGGTCGCTGGAGTGGGATGGTCGTACAGGATTTCTGTGGTGCTTTGAACCTCTGAAGCAAGTGGAGTTCTGGAGTGCAGTGTCTGGTGGTTGCTTCTTCAATTAGAATCATAGATTCATAGAATATCCTGAGTTGAAAGAGAACCACAAGGATCATCAAAGTCCTATTCCTGGCCCTTCACAGGACAACCCCATGAATCACACCATTAGAGAAGGCTCTAATTTCTGAGATGAAGCATCTCATTTTTGCTATGATGGTCATCAAGTGAGGGTTTTGAATCCTGAACTGGACACCTGAGTGTAGATGACTGCACGTGGACTCAGTGTCTAATTCCTCTTTCAACCAATGCACTCCAGTCAAAGCAGGCAATGGGGAGTAGGGGAGTTTCAGACTAACCTAGACATGGAAAAAAGCTCAAAGCAGCATCCCATCCCACAGTTTGGCAATGAGCAGAAGGATCCTTACAGGAAGGGCAGCATAACTACCTGCAATTTCAGGTGAAGGTATTTGGCCAGGATTACAATAGGAAGTATGAGTTATAAAAAGCAGTTGGTTCATTTGGAAATGCTGAGGGAGAATTAATTGATTTTTGTGCTTCTAGAAATGGGACAAGGAGAGGAGGAAAGAAATAAAACATTACATTGCTGCTTGAGCAACAGCCAGGAAACACACAGGAGAAAGTTGCATTATATATTCAGAGAAATGAAAGCACTGTAAAAAATAAATTAAATCCTCATTCTTCATTTTTCAGAGATGATTCTGGCAGTGGTGTTCCTGTGTCTCACAGCTGTGCTGCCTCCATCCACTGGAGAGGTATGATCCGCACTTTGTACTCAGAAAGTTTGAATGAGCCCTGAGGCACTTGTGGTGTGACTGCATATGGCTTTTCCTGTGCACACCAATCATGTGCAGAAAGAGTCTGATCAGATATCTAGGATCTGGAAAGCATTTATCCTTGAAGTCTGCTTCATTTCAAAGCAAAAGACTGGTTCCACACTTGCACACAAAGCCATCTATACACTCAATGTTACTTATGGGTTGGGTCAGAGAGAACTATTTTCCAGAAGCTTACACACACAGATCCACTAATCTGGATCTCCCAGAGATCCAGCCTTCTTCCTATTGATTCTTCACAGGTTTACAAACAGCACTTACCTAATTCTCTTCCTTTCTCATCCTACATGTCCTGAGCTATGCGCCTCTCCTTTTGCTCACAGACCCATCCTCTCAACATATATCCCTGATTTCCCTCAAACAGCTAGAATAACATATGGAACACACAGTCAGAGTGGTCCCTCCCAAACGACGCTTAGTCTGAAGCTTGAAGTTTGCTACTTCTGCTTCAGACATGTTAATGTGACTGAAGGCTTGACTAGTTTTCCCTCTAGTTCTTAAATCTCTGCTCTTCATGCTGCAGTCTAGAAGACTAGTTGAGAATGGATGTACAGGGAAGGCTGAGTTCTTCACATGGCTCTTTTATAATTAGAGAACACATGAAAAGTTTGAGAAATGCTATCAGTTAAGGCAGAATTGGAAGAAAATCTATGACATGAAAAGTATAGACACAATTTTCTATTCAGTGGGATATCTTTATCAAGTACCTAAGGAGGTCTGTGATGATCCTGTGATTAAACACCAGGTTCCTTCAATTTGAAAACCCATTGATAGGCATGGTTAAATACTGAGGAAGTGGATCACACTATAACCACATTCATGTCTTCAGCTGTTTTTTAGATCTTGTTTCCTCAAAACCTCTTGTGGGAAGTTATAATAATATAAATTTAGGCAACAGAATCAGATTTATTTACTAAGTTTACAGGCACATGAAGCATTTTAGGATATCTCAGCCTTCCACAGAGGGTTGGCAGATACAGTACAGGTATCCATGTTATTGCTAAGCTCCAAGCTGTGCAACCAGTAAAATTCTGTTCCAAATGGAAGCATCCCTAGAGATATTTAGGAGATAAAGCATATCACAGAACCTCCTCCATCACAAGGATCATCTCCTTGATTGATGCTGGTATTTTGTTATTGTAATATCTTAATGTTTCCTAGACAGGTTACAGGACTCAGTTGCATTCAAATAAAACAGAACTATAACATGTTCTTTCAATATAGGAACCTGAAGGTCTCGATGCTCTGTCACCTAGCAGAGCAGATCAGCAAAAGCTGATTGTTGACAGACATAATGCCCTCAGGAGAAGTGTACAGCCAACGGCCAGCAACATGATGAAGATGGTAAGTTGTGGGCTGCAAATTTGATATTTTTTTATTTTAAAACCCTAACCCTAGCCCTAACCCTAACCCCAGCCCTAACCCTAACCAGTTAGGGTTAGGATTAGGGTTAGGGTTTAAAATGATACTATTAGTTTTTATCTCTGTAAAAACAATAAAATATTAATTTTAAAAATCACAATCGTCACACATTCACTCTCCAGACCTTTCATAAGGATTGAGCATGGGCAAAGAGAAACTAAGAGAAACACATAGCTGGGCAGGTGGTAATAAAAAAAAGCCAGGACATTTTTTTGGTGTGTGAACAATAATGTCTCTTTCTCTAGGAGGAAAGTGAAAAGAAGAAGGAGCCATAACATTATGCATTTCGTTCTGATACATACGTTAGCAGTCTTCACAGTGTCTATTCCCTGGTTGCATAGTAACTTTGTTCCTACCCATCCTTTCTACACCTTCAAAAGGGGATAAAAAGGATTTTGTATTGGATTTTTTTTTCCTGATTTCAAATGTTATTTCAAAATGTTATTCCTATGTGAGAGGCTATTCATAGGTACATGTCTGAATGACTAATATTTTCTTCTTTCATTAAGGAATGGAGTCCTCTGGCTGCAAAGAATGCCCAAAAATGGGCCAATCAATGTACTTTAGGCCACAGTCCTCCTAATCAGAGGACTACTGGTAAGCAAAGCAGGAGTGTAATTGAATAATGTCACAAGTTAATGATATGACTTCTTTGGTTTTTGTTTGTTGAGGGTTTTTTTAATATCAAATTTGTATTCAATATTTGATTTGTTCGTCATGGGACAAAGATAAATTTCTAGGTATAAACCTGAGCAGTAAATCAGAAAAGTTCAATCCCATTCTAATCCCAATAGCATCAGTTTTACATGGGTATATCCCATTTTCTACAGTCGATGAAAAAATTCATAGTGCTAAAGCATATTCTCCCAAAATACTCATCAGAATAAAAAGAGGATCTAGATGCAGTTTAGTACAGAAACCAGCCAGCATGTGTTAAATCATACTGTCAGGAAAGAAAGGGGTAAAGGGTGAAGGTCCAAGACTGGCTGGTGGTGTTAAGCATAATTTCTAAGACAAACTTCATAGTTTTAAAATCCCCTGGCAGCCTGCAACCTATAGCTGTCTTTGAGGTTCAGATTAGCACTTCAATCATTGGATATTGAAGTTGGAGCTATACTCCAGTGTAGTGTTGGCTCACTTCTTTCTACACCATATCTAAGATGTGGACAGTCCTTCTGTTCCCATACTTTTTGCCTAAAACCTGTATCCTCTGGATTTTGCTAAGGTGAATTCCATATGAGAACTAATGCATAACAGAGTAGGCTTGGACCTGAATAAAAACAGTAGGTGAGGACAGTGTAGACACCTTCTTGTGCAACAAGAGTGTGATTGGGATTATTAGGATTTCCCCAAGATTACTGGGCTGTGACCTGAATAATGACTAGGTTGTTAATACCCCAATGGCAAAATTACAGTCATGAACCTGTGGTGCACATGTGCAGATAGATGTATCTACAGTCATATAGAAGATCTGTCAGCAACCAAACTACCAGTCAAACAGGCCATACTACAAACTGGTCAAGTGACAACTTCAGTATTAACAGAGGATGATGTCACTGGACTGGAAAAAACCCACCCCAATGCTCCATCTGGGATGAGAACTTCCATGAAAATTATCCCACCTTTTGCTGTTTGTTCTTTTTTCTCAAATGTGAATCCTTATGTATTTCTCAGGATCTTTCTCTTTTCAGACGTACTATGTGGTGAAAACCTCTTCATGTCATCTGCCCCATTCTCATGGTCAAATGTTCTTCAGGCCTGGTACGATGAGAAGAAAAATTTCAAATATGGAACAGGAGCAAAAACAAAAGGTGCTGTGATTGGCCATTACACTCAGGTAGATGCATTATATATATATATACATATATATATATTTCAGGCTGAATAAATAAACATCTAGATGTTAGCTAAGCAAGTTTTACACACTTGTTATGTTGAAAGGAAATAAGTGCAATGGAGACATGAGAGGTTTTTTCTGACAAAACAAGATGAAAATGTTCAAAGTAATGATACTAAAAATGACAATAATAGGCTAAGTGTCTTTATGGAGTAAAGGCAGTAAACATACTGGTATTACAGAATCACAGAATCAATCACATTGAAAAAGACCTCTGAGATCATGTCCAAACCATGACATAACACCAACATGTCAACTAGACCATGGCACTAAGTGCCACGTCCAGTCTCTCCTGAAACACCTCCAGGGACAGTGACTCCACCACCTCCCTGGGCAGTCTGTTCCAAGGTCTAATCACCCTTTCTGTGAAGTATTTCAAGACTTCAGGAAGAAACAACTTATTTGGTTTTTTACCATATGAAAATTGACCAGACACCGGAAAAACAGGGTTATTAAAGCATCAGCAAAGAAAAGTAAGTAGGTTTGTTGCAGTCTACAAAGTTCCAGTGACTCGGAGAGCTTCCAGTCAGACAATGGCCTATCATAACCTCCTTTGTTCACCTGCACAAAACACAGGATACAAAATTTTACATCATGATTCCTACATCAAGAGTTTTCATTGAATGAAAACATACATAATTAAGACAGTTTAACTCATAGGTTTTTATATATATGTGTGTGATAAATTATTATCATTATATTCTTGATATTCTTTGGTATAATAGGGATGAAAGCAGGGGGAAATAGTTTTCAGCAAGCCAGGACTCATATTTTACTCTAAAGGGTAAATAAAGTGGCTTAATATCATTGCAAATGTTTCTGTAATGCATATTGCATTTAAATGGTTTTCAAATGTATGTTTTTCATTCTCCCATGATTTTTATTCTTATACCTACAGATGGTTTGGCACAATTCTTATAAAGTTGGATGTGGTCTCGCTTTCTGTAGCAACAGTAGATACAGATTCTTTTATGTCTGCCAGTACTGTCCCATGTATGTATTGCTTCTACTTTTGGAATTTCTTATTACATTATCAAAATTAGTCAGAAGACTGTGAATTTGTAATAGGGCACATCACCTACAGCTGAGGAATAGGTTTAAAGAGTGTATTAGGAATATGAAAAGGCAGAAATATATTCATCAAGAGTTGTCAAGCAACAAAAGCATAAAACACATATAAGCAACACTGATTACAGATTAAATTTAATTTGCCTACAAATCCTCTTTTTCATAATAGTAAATCTGAAATACTCTACTTGAAATCTCAGTTCAGAAAGGCAGATCCATTTGTACAGTACAGTGAAGACTATAATTAATACCAAAAACTTTAGTGGGAATTTTAAAGTAGAGTGATGATTTCATATACTGCCTAAAATTAATTTCCACATTCACAATGTAATATCTGGTAGTGGGTTGACTTGACAGGCCATCAGTGGCCCACTCAGCCTCTCTATGAATCTTCTCCTCAATAGGACAGGGGAATTAAAGTATGACAAAAAGTTCATAGATTAAAATAAGGGCAGAGGAGATCACTCACCAGTTACTGTCATGGGAAAACCAGACTCGACTTGGAGAAGTTAACTCAATTTATTACCAATCAAATCAGAGTAGGATAATAAGAAATATAACCAAATCTAGAAACACCCATCCACCCTTCCCTTAATTCCAAGCTCAACTTCATCCCTCAGCAGCACAATGGGATAGGAATATGGGCTCCAGTCTGTTCATTATACATTGTCTCTGTCACTCCTTCCTCCTCATGCTCTTCCCCTGCTCCAGTGTGGGGTCCCTCCATGGGAGACATTCTGCTCTGAACTTTAGTGCGTGCCCTTCCACAAGCTGCAGTTCTTCATAAACTGCTCCAAGGTGGTCCACTTCCATGGAGTACAGTCCTTCAGGAATGGACTACTCCAGCACAGGTCCCCCAGAGGGCCACAAGTCCTGCCAGGAGCCTGCTCCAGTGTGACGGCCCCACGGGGTCACAGGTCCAGCCAGGAGCTTGCTCCAGTGCAGCCTTCCCAGGGGATCACAGCCTTCTTCAGGCATCCTCCTGCTTCAGCATGGTGTCCTCTGGGGTCTGCAGGTGGATCTCTGCTCCCTCATGGACCTCCATGGACTGAGAGGCACAGCTGTCTCACCATGGTCTGCACCATAGGCTGCTCCAGTGCCTGGAGCACCTCCTGCCCCTCCTTTTTCATTGACCTCGATGTATGCAGAGTTATTTCTTCCCCTCCTTTCTTCTGGTTCCGGTTGCACAGCAGTTTTTACCCTTCCTTAAATATGTTATCACAGAGGTGTTACCACCATCACTGGTGGGCTCAGCTTTGAGCAGCAGCAGGTCCCACCTGGAGCAGGTTAGCACTGGCTCTGTCTGAAACAGGGAGCTTCTGGTGCCTGCTCACAAAAACCACCCCCTCAAGTTCCTCCCTTCTCTGCCCACTACCAAAACATTTCCAGATAAACCCAACACATATATAAAAAATTTTCAACGTATAACCAAAGACTGGATGTAAATGAATATACGTCTCCATCTATATAATTCTTATTTTCAAATTTGCTATAGTGACTTTATAGCTTATGTTGGCAATGTTGATGTTGCAGGGGGAATCTAGTAAGTTCCATGCGGACACCCTACAAGGAAGGAGAACCCTGTGGGGATTGCCCTGATGCTTGTGAGGACAGATTGTGCAGTAAGTTCTAAGCATTTTAATTGTGACTTGTGTAAAGCTGATGCTTTTTAAAAAATGCCAATTAATTTATGCAAATTGAATTGTTTTGAAAGTATTTGTATCAATACATAGCCAAAAGCAGAATTACAGAAACACATTTCTCCACACTGGGGGCTTTACCTAGGTGGGACAACTTGCAGAGTGAAACCAAAGAAGGAGTTTATGATAAGGGTGGGAAAATGTTAGACAGTGGTTGGTGTACATTGGGATACAGTTACCCTCCACTTTATGGATAAGGATATTCATATGGCCTAAATGCCTCCATTAAAGGTGACAATGTCTGAATCTCCATATGGAAACTCTCTTGAACACATTCTATCATAAGAAGACACATTGATTGCAAGTGAGATCGAAGATGTGTTTATACAAATGGTAACACAGAAATCTGAGCTCCAGATTTCCAGCTGAAATACATATGCTTTTCCATGCCCAGGAAAGATGTCTCATCCTTGCATCTAGGAACTGCCAGAGAAGGAGGGAACTTCTTTATGGATTTTTTTTTCTTCCTTTGATAAATGGTGACTGATCAAGTGGCAATAGCAACACATTTGATAAGAGCAAGTAGCAAATCTGAGTTTTAAGTATTCTAACAGAAAATAAAAGCATATTGGCTGAGTCTCATTATGCAGGACTTAATTTCAATCTTCTGTTGCAGAATTAACCTAATTCTCATCATGGGCTCTAGTATAAAGGAAGAAAACTCCAAAACACCTTGACAGTTTAGTGAGAAATGTCCTTGAGAGAGCTAAGAATTCTGTATGTATGGTTTAGGATGTTGCTGTGGCGTAAATCACAACAAGAAGGAAAAGAAATACAGAGAAAATAAGTGCTGATGAAAAATCATTCTGAAAACCACACTGAAGGTTTTAATTTCCCATTTATGATTTTTTTTTTTGTGTTTCAATTAATTTTCAGCCAACCACTGAAAGTTTGAAGATGCTTTCCTCAACTGCCTTGATAAAGTGTCCTGCGTGTAGCTACAGCTTCATCAAGTCCATTGCCCTGCTTCCTGCCAATGCAAAACTGCAATAAAAAACAGGCTCAACTTTTCTTTTCCTGGACATCCATTCCCCTAGTGATTTCTTTCATGAAACTGATTCCATACTGCCTCTCCCACATATGCAGAAGGACTAACTTCAGTCTGGAGACTCACACAAGAAAAAGCTGTAGGAGGATGTATATATTCTATTTGTGTAATGGTCTAGAACATATTAGAGATCTTAACTGAAACTTGTCATTTGGTTGCCAGATATATTTAATTACTAGTTTTGCACATTTTTCTTTTCCCAAAATGGAGCATTCTTTAAAGTTCATGCTTCCATATATTTCATGTGTTCTCAGCAGAAATAGAAAGTCCTTGGTCTTGCAATTAGTCTTAACTTGATTGACATTTTAAACTACTGTACTGTTAACAGAACCAGAAGGTAAACAGGATTACTTGAAATATGGAGTTCTTGAAAGGAATTAGGAGAGCAGAGCAGTTTCAGTGAAAACTATTTTGGTTGAAGGAGCCAAATTCTTTTCAGTTGAGGGAGCCTGATTTTTTAGTGGCATAAGCAGAAACAGGTCATGTGAGAAGTTAAGGATTTCCTAGGCAAAAACAGAAGTCAGGCAAACAACCTTCCATCAAACTCTCATTGAGAGAGAAATGACAGCATAAATAACATGCCATCTCCACTCAGTGACCTCTGTGAGTGCACAGGTGTTCTTCTGTGTAGTCAACAGTGGGACTAAATATTATTTTAGTGTCACCTTACAACGGTTTCACATTCCAGTCCTCTTGTAGTAAGGAGGCTGCTGTCATAATTAGGATTTCAAGTCCCAGAGTCTTTGGCATGGAATAATTTCAGCACATGTTTCTGACTAATTCATTTCAGTGGCAATTTCAACACACATTTCTGACTCGTTGCTTAAGTTAAAAGCCCAGTTTCAAAACTCAAAGTGCTTATTGTTTGGGTTGGTTTTTTCTCATTCATCTCCACCACATTCTCCTTCAAGACATACTGCCCTCTCAGTTGAGTACATCTCTACTAGTAAGTTAGGCAATGCCAGGACATAGATGTGAGTGCTGGAACTTGACTTACTGTACTCTTAAATAATTAGCACAGGTCCAAGAATGATGATATTGCAACAGCTAATCCAGTGTTGCCATCATCAAGGAAATGACCAGAACCATTACACCCATTCCTAAAATAGTCCACCCAATGATGG